GGAGGCGCGACAATTCTTTCTGGTGTGCCAGAGATTGGCAACTCCAGGAAGAACAAACACGTGTTTGGTACGCGCCTTCACTTGCCTCATGTGGTTTGTTTAAAGTCGTGCGCAATGGTCCTCACTTCTCTGACGCTGTTGTTGTTCTCTGTGTGTGTTCTCAACTACAAAATTCAGTTGACTCTCAGGGATGGCCCTACTGAAGCTCGCTTCATAGTCATGGGCGGGTGTGGTCATGCTTTGGTGAATGTATCTGCTGCATACTTGTCACAGCGCTTCCCTTACAGACCTGGCCAGCTCCCACCTCAAATTAACCAGCTGCTTGGCCAGTATGTCAAGTTTGACTGCAAGCTTCCGCTGCCTGGTCTAGGTGGGTTTTCCTCTGGGGAATTTCGCGTCACACAAGTGGTCCCCATAGCAAATGACGCTGAACTTGCTGATCTGCTCGAGTATCACCCTCAGCCTGCACTCCCAGCACCTGTTCATGTTGTCCCACCTGCACATGCGAGCCTTGCATTGGAAGGTGCTGGGACACGTGCAGCTGAAGCTGTTGAAGGAACATCAAGGTTGGCAATGCGATGTGTTCTCCTTCCATTTCTTGCAGACAAGTGTGGGGCACATATTATTTATGCTGAACTTTTACTGTGGTCGCTGTAGACTGTCAAGTGCTGCAAAGGGAAAAGCTAAGGTCTCCGACCTTACACAGCTCAAGGGTCCTGCTCAGGAGTTCCGAATTGGGGACTATCCGCCAAGGTGTTGCGATGACATCTATTTATTTAGTGGTGTCCTTTGTGTTGTGCGCTTTTGTTCCTTGGTTTTGCCCTTACCCTTTTTTGTCTTCTTTTGGTGCTCTTTTTGAAGCGATTCGATGGTGCCCCTCTTTGCCAGTGATCCAATAATGTCGGCCAGTGCTCCTTATCAACAGGTTTACAGTGCCTTGCCCCAGGGGGCGCACCGGAGTGGTGTTGTAATTAGAACTGAGTCACAGGCTGCTTTGTCATGCCATGATAGTGGTCGTTCTGCTGGCCTCAATGTTCCAGGAGAAACTCCAATGGGTTTTGCGCTGGCTGATACAAGCAATGCCCCGCCAGGTGCTGCTCATTCCTTGATGCATGGTGTATCAACCCAAAAGACACAGGAGGGCGAGTTTGTGATTGGTGGTGAGCCTCCAGCTCCTTTGCCACGCCTTACTGAACATCCATCCCCTGGCCAAGCTGTCGTGGAAAATACTTCAGTGACTGATAGTTCAGTTAATGCAAGGGATGTGCACCCAAGTTCCCTAGCTGTCAGTTTGAAGACACCCAAGCCTGACTCTGTCTCCTCTCCTGGGAAGGTCCTTACCTCTGCCAGTGGATCACACTCAGCTTCGTTGTGAGTTACCAACTTTAGTATGTTGTTTTTTTACTGTTGTCATGGTTGTGTTTACTGAATTCCCTTTTTGGTTTGTGTATGCTTCCTGTAAGGCTTCTCTCCCCACTTGCAAAAATCAAGGTTGAGAAATTGGATGCTGCTGATGGTGGATCTCCGGCCAGTACTGAGGTGACAGTTCCTTTCGCTATTGGAACTCAGGAAAGTTCAGCTGGTCAGCAGAAAAAGGGATCTGCTAAGAGAAGTTTGTTCCAGGGTTGAATAGGAGGTGAGCACAATTTTGTGTACTTCCATATTCTGGTGTGCCATTGTGACCTGTTTTTATTTTTGTTTGCATCTTCCGCGTTTTCTTTTGAGGATTCAGGTGCTTCAGAATGGCCGCTCAAGACTTATAGGTGTTTGTGCTTTTCACTGTTTGCTGCAGGTGTAGGGGGTGGTCCTTCTGTGGAACGATAATTACATCTCATGGGTGGTGTGCTGGTTTATTTTGTCAAGTTCGTGGTGTGCTCGGATGGACAGCTGGTGTGGAGCATTTCTGAAGGACCCTGCTTTCTTCATCAGTGTGGATCGTTCAATACCTGGAACTTTTGCTATCTTTTGTGTGGGTGTTTTGTGGGTGTTTTGCAAGGGCATGACCTCTTCGCAGCACATATGTGTGTATGGTACACTGAACATCGGTTTATGGTCCATTTGGGTTCATTTGTGATTGTGCAGGGGTTCTTTTCAGGCTTCGGTTTGAAAGAAGGTGTATAGCTGTGTTTGTGGGGAACCCCTGTAGTGTAGCAGGTAGTGCCAATTTGGGTGAGGTTAGGTGTTTTGCTATTTCCTGTGTATGCACTAAATCTGTATGACATTTCGCTTCATGTACAATGCCACTGTGCAATGTTATGGTAAGTTTGCCTCCGATCTTTTATATATTGGGTGTTGATTAGTTTTGTTTTGCTAAATCATTTTTGTGTGCTCTCCTATTGGTTTTGAATTTGAGGAGGAATGTCACGCACTTACATGAAAGTTCCCGCTTGTGGCGCTTTGTGATCCAATGCAATTCGTTAATGTTTGCAAATGTCTGATTGATGGTGTTGCGCTGTGGAAATCGTTGCGTTTTTTATTACCGCGCACAACTCCCTTGCAACGCATTCAACTCGAGATGGTGCATCACAGTAACTTGCATATTTGGTGCCGTTCTTTCATTTCAAAATTGTGAAACGTATCGTGGCTTGATCGTTTGATAGTTCTTACTTTGCGATTGGGTTTATTTTGCCAGGGGGGGGGGGTACTACAATTAGCATTTAATGCTTGATGATTACTGAACATGATCGACTGATTGATGTCACTTCTTGCAAGTGGTTAGCTCGATAACCTGTACATGTCTACTCCAAAAGAGTCCATTAAATACAGATTATTGTTGTTGGGCCACTTTGCTAATATGTCTTCTGATTTTAGAACATAAAATAAACATTCCTTTCTCAACAACTCAATACGCCCTTCGCCTTCTTCCTCTCCAGTTTTAAATCATAACTGACAATGCTCTCCCTCCTTAAAGAATTCAATTTCCTCCAGCCAGCATTGAATTCTTCCTCTTGACTCTTTCCTTCTTCATTACAGATTCGTGTGCTGGTCGCTCATTAAGTTTCCCTATTTGGTGGAAACCGTTGTATTAACTCACCTGATCTTCGTATTCAGGTGAGGTCTCTTAGTCATTTATTGTATCCATGATCTTCGTGTTCCTATTTCTGCTCTTTACATGTTATTAGCTCTTCTAAACACACACAAGACTAAAATCCTATCCCCTAATTCTTTATCCGTTGCCTCTGCAGGTAGTCCTTTGCTCAGCATGCCACCACGTAAGAGGAAACAACAATGTCAGCCTTTAAAGTTCAACAGGGTGCACAGTTCAGTTCCAGAGTATGCTTTGTCTGACCAATCAATGCAAGCAGCAGAGTCTCTTTATGCATATGAACATCCAAGTGGTGACCATCACTTTTCACGCACACCTACAACGTGTAGTATCAAAGGTTCGAGCAGCACTCAAAGTAACGATGAACTTCCACGCCCACCTCGAGACCCATACACAAACTTTACACCTAATGAGTCTCATGAACCGGATGTTGTGGTTTCTCAAAGATGCATTCTAACATCTAAGCTTCCTATGCATAATGACGTCTTGGACATAGGCAAGCCAGAGTGTGTGTGCAAGTTCTGTGGTGCCATGTTCTGGTATTTGGAGAGGCTTGATCGGCGTTGTAAAACAGTTAATCCAGTCTATGTGTTATGCTGTCAAAAAGGAAGGGTTTCTTTGCCTCTTTTAAAGCAACCGCTGCCATTGTTGGATGATTTGTTGAGGCTAGATGGAGGACCTATGTCCAAGCATTTCAGAGATAACATCCGCCCATATAATGGTTCTCTTTGTTTTACCTCATTTGGAGCTACAATTGACCCTAGATCACTTGCTAGCAGAGGCCCTTATTCGATGGTCATCTGTGGCGAAAACTACCATAGAATAGGTTCCCTGTTGCCTGCAGAAGGTGAGAGGCCTAAATTTGCTCAGCTGTATATGTTTGAGCCAGAAAATGAAATTGATAACAGGTTATCCAATTTCGCTTCGCGTGACTCTCAGCTTATGCCAGAATTGCTGACTTCCTTACTTCACATGTTAGATCAGCACAACGAATTGGTCAAGACATTCAGGCGAATTCGGCAGCAGCTGCAGACCTCTGCCACCCCGAATATGAAGCTCAGAATATTTGGTGCTAAGAGTCAAAACCGGCAGTATGATTTGCCAACCAGCTCTGACATTGCCGCACTAATTCCAGGAGATTTTGTGCCAGACAGAGATGATCGGGACATAATTGTCGATCACATTCACGAAGGCCTGAAGCGCATCACCAGTCTCAATCCTAAGTTCGATGCTTTGCATTTCCGTTTGTTGTTCCCCTATGGAGAAGATGGTTATCACCCACTTATCAAATACAACGCAAGATGTTGTCCTGCATCTATGCGCAGGCAGTTCGTCACACAACGTGAATATTATGCTTTTAGACTGCAGTACCGCCGTCAGGAAGGGCACACGCTGGTGCGAGCAGGCAAGGCACTTCAACATTATTGCATCGATGCTTACTCTTCGGTCGAGCTCAACCGACTTGCCTATTTGCGCTTTCATCAAAAGGAACTTCGAGCAGAAGTCTACCAAGGCTTGCAGGATGCTATGGAACGGGGGGGGCAAGGATGGAGATAAGGTCGGGCACATAGTTCTTCCAGGAACCTATGTTGGCAGCCCGCGCTACATGCAGCAACTCTACCATGATGCGATGGCTATTGTTGAGTTCCTGGGGAATCCTGACTTATTTATCACATTTACGTGCAATTCATTGTGGAGAGAGGTCACAGAAGCTTTTGATGGAATCGTGGGACTTAGTAGCGCGGACAAACCGATGGTTATTGCTAGAGTGTTCCACATTAAACTCAGCATCCTGATTGATGATATCAAAAGAGAATCCTACTTTGGAAAAACCCTTGCCAGTAAGTCACGAATTTCATAATTACCTCTTTATATACTTCTCCTCTCCTTTGTTTCGTATTCTCCTCCACTTCTAATTTGTACTTACCTCTACAATACGTTTGCTATCTCAGTTATGTACACAGTTGAGTTCCAGAAGAGAGGGTTGCCACATATCCATCTATTAGTTTGGCTTGCTGAAGAGGACAAGTTGCGAACAACAGCAGATATAGATGCAGTGATATCGGCAGAACTTCCGAACCCTGAGATCGACCCTTTAGGATATGACGCTGTTGTCAAGTACATGCTTCATGGGCCTTGTGGTGGAGCAAATGCAAACGCTCCATGTATGAGAGACAAGAAAAAATCCAGGAAAGATAAGTGTTCCAAACATTTCCCAAAGGATTTCAATTCAGCAACCACGTTTGACAAGTCTGGTTGTGCTATCTATAGAAGAAGGGACTCTGGAATCCAAGTGCAAAAGGGGAGTGCAATTTTAGACAACCGTCATGTTGTACCATACAACAGAAATTTGTTGGTTCGATTACAAGCCCACGTCAACGTGGAGGTATGTCACAAGGGGAAGCTCATAAAATACCTCTTCAAGTATGTAACAAAGGGCCCAGACAGATCGTTGGTGATTGCTGAGAATCCTGCAACACAAGCTACGGACCCACCAACGCAAGATGCAAGACGCAAAGATGAGATACAACAATTTATCGATTGCCGAACGTTGTCGTCGTATGAGGCTATATGGCGGTTGAATGAGTATCCAATTCATGTTAGAGAACCAGCTGTTGTGCGCTTGGGCGTGCATCTCGATGGCCAGCAGAAAGTCCCCTACAGAAAGCAATCAAGCATTGACAGGGTTCTGAGAGATCCAAATGCGGGTAAGACACACTTGACAGAATGGTTTGCACTGAATTGTAGAGATCCTGAGGCAAGAAGTTTGACATATGCACAGATCCCAAACAAATATACTTGGCTACCTGACTGTAAAGAATGGACTCCACGCAAAAGAGGATTTGGGATTGGGAGGGTTGCGTATGTGCCTCCAGGATCAGGAGACGTGTTTTTTCTTCGTATGTTACTTACGAAAGTTCGCGGATCTCTTAGCTACAGACATATGAGGACTGTCAATGGAGAAATATGTCAAGATTTTGAAAAAGCTTGCGATAGGTTAGGCTTGCTATCAGATTCATCAGAGTGGGTGAAAGTGCTTACTGAAGTTTCTGCCTCGAGCATGCCACGGGTAATTCGCACTACCTTTGTGTCTATGCTGATGTTTTGCGAAATTCCAAACCCTTTGGCACTGTATGACTCAGCTTGGCGATCTATGGGAGATGATTATGCTTATAGTATCTGCACAACTCTGCCAACTGGAAATAACAGTCCAACTGATGAAAGAATACAGAATTGGGTTTTGCGACAATTGCAACAACTCCTTGGGTCTCACTCATCCACGCTTAATGATTTTGGACTCCCTATCACCACGGATGATGCAGATTCTGATGATGGAGCAAATCCACTTATTAACAACCACCTGGATTTTGATATGAACTCACAGTCAATCTTATCAAGCACTATGTTGGAGTCACTCAACACGGATCAGTTGCATGTGTACTCGGCTATCATAAATTCGATTCATAACAAGTCAGGGCAACCATTCTTCTTATATGGACATAGTGGCACAGGGAAAACATTCCTATACAACGCAATAACAGCGAGGCTAAGAAGTATGTCAAAAATTGGTGTTCTGGTTGCCTCGTCTGGAATTGCAGCAACATTACTGCCTAAAGCCACCACTGCCCACTCGAGATTTAAGATACCTCTGACCTTAGACACAACATCAACATGTCCAATCAAGAAAGGTACACACTTAGCTGAGTTGATCGGGGAAGCTTCTCTGATTATCTGGGATGAAGCGCCCATGACACACCGACTGGCCTTCGAAGCTGTGGATCGCAGATTTTGTGATATAATGAATGTTCCACTGAGGGGCTCACTGTACAAGCCTTTTGGAGGGAAGAATGTGCTTTTCGGGGGGGATTTTCGCCAGACACTCCCAGTCATAACAGAAGCATGTCGAGAGCAAACAGTAGATGGTTCTCTTACCAGATCACTCTTGTGGAATTCTTTTAAACTACTAAAGCTATCTAGAAACATGAGGATCACCAATTCAGTGGCAGATGAAGCAAGGTTCATGCATGGCTATACATTCCCAGAGTGGGTGCTTGCTTTGGGAGATGCAAAGCTTAAGACAACATCGTTTAAGCCAGATACTCCATCAGATTGGGTTCAGATCCCGCAGATCTTTTTGGTGGACCATGGCACTCACCCCATTGGCTCCATTACAGAAGACATTTATGACCTGTTCCTACAGAACTACAGGCAGCCACAGTACCTTGCAACAAGGGCAATCATAACTCCAAAAAATACAACAGTGACTGAGATTAATTCATATATGCTGCAGCAAGTACCAGGCATAACAAAAACATACTACAGTTCAGACTCACTCCAGCAATCAACAGAGACATTTGCTTCATTTGAAGACTGCTATCCAACTGAGTTTCTCAACACACTGACTTTCAACGGAGTTCCTGATCATGAGCTCATCCTTAAGAATTATACACCAATCATGCTTCTACGCAACCTCAACCCTGGACTTGGGCTGTGCAACGGTACGCGTATCATGATAACGTCGTTGGGTGACAATGTTATCCGAGGGACCATCATGGGAGGTTCCAATGACACCGACGATGTTATCATTACAAGAATTGTGCTTAATATCGAAAATTCAAGGTGGCCATTTATACTTAAAAGGCGTCAGTTCCCTGTACGCTTGTGCTATGGGATGACCATAAACAAAAGCCAAGGGCAGACGCTAGACAAGGTTGGTATATACTTGCCTGATCCAGTTTTCAGCCATGGCCAACTGTATGTGGGAGTTTCAAGAGTGAGATCCACCAATGGCCTGAGAATACTCATTGACAACCCTGCTGACATACCAGGAGACTACACCAGGAATATCGTTTTCAGGGAAGCATTCACTGATATACTACAAGCTTAGACTTCCCCTAATGACATGGCCATGTTAAAGTCATGTGTTTTGCGTCCAAATGTGTGCGATAAACATACCGCGTTTGGCATCTTCAATTGTGTGTGATTAAGTTTGTTTGCCTTTTGTAAGTGACAGCAACTCTTTTTGTTGTCTTTTATTGTGAAATGCTCAGGGTGAAGCGAAAAAAGGATAGATATGTGCTATGCGTTTATCATTGCAGTAGTTGGATTTGTTAAACGTTGTCGTGTTGGATTCCTGGAGTTTGGTTCTTCGTAAGTTCTTGAAGTTCATTAAGTACTCTCCCCCATAACTGATCTCTTGAGACATTTGATCCTCATAACAGATATCACATTTTCATCGAGATGTTTATGGCCCACGGAAAGACGTTGGGCCTCGCACGGTTTTTCTACCCAAATAAAACAGAGACCTTCAGTATAGATTCCAAAGGATACAGATATACTTAACCGTGACAGCAGGCCTGTGTACTATAAGGCCCAAAACAGCATTCCGGCCTGTATTTTTTAGGCCCGCGTTCAATTAACCTATGCCCTGCTTGGCCTCCTTCGACGGCACAGTCATTGTTCCAGATCTTCACTGCATCGGCGGTAAAAGCGGCGGCTTTCGACCACTGTCAAAACCCTAGCGCCAAGGTACGTCACTGTCTGGTCTTAAACTCACCACTCACTAGAAAAAATCGCATTTCTCTAATAAAGATTCCTTCGATCTCAGCGGGCCCACGAACTATGGCAGTTTTCCGCCGAGACAACCCATTCGCCTCGCGGGATTACGAGGTCCCCACCGATCCCCAAGGTTCGATGTTTGTGTTTCTATGGGTCTGAATTGGTGCTGGCTTTCGATTACTTAGCAAGACTTTGCCAGAAATGGTAACTCCACTTAGTTTGTTTTTGCGTCTACTGTAGACCCCATTTGTGCTTCGATGATGTTTCGCGGTTTGCGGTTGGGAACCAACAACCGTTCTATCATAGCCCGACTTCTGAAAACGTGGACAGAAGTCATTGACGGAAAGTTTTGGAAAACGTCAGCACTGCGAATGCTCTGGATGGACAAGAAGGTTTGTTTTCGAATTCCCAGAAAAAAAACCAAATGCTGCTTATGTATAACATTCTTTGACACCCGCTAATCCCACAGAAACGAGTTATTGAAGCTCTGGCATATGAAAGAGACATTGATAGCGTGATGGCGAGGATCAAAGTTGGCCGTCTGCATCGCCTAAGCACTATCGTTACAATCCCCTCGAGTAAGAACAGACGCATTGTCCCAGGAGAATTGCGGCTGCTCATGAACTCTGACCAGCTGATTGATGACATTGAAGAAGACCAGAACAATCCTAAGTTTCCCCTCGACTCATTCCTGAACTTCCATTTCTCAGTGGTCCCTGCAAAGTTGACAAGTTTCCACTGCCACGCAGGTAAAACGGTGCACTGTACTTTCACGACCAACACACACTAAATATCCCATAACATCTATGCAATTACAGATGTCACAGGATGCGTACGCCGAATTACAGTACCAAAGCCATGTCAGAATGGCATGCTTGATTTCCATCTGGTTATTGAAGACTACAGGTATACTAAAGCATGTACCTAAGAGCATTACAACTTTCGACATACGAATAGTTTATATTTTCTTTGTGTTTGCAAAACAGTGGGAACAAGGCTGTTGTGCAGTACTGTGGCTACGATGTCGTTGCTTACCTCCAACAAGCAGCAGATGTAGAGTCACACCTCCCGCTTATAACCACAATTACATCGGTTGTCGCCGTGCCCCATAAGTGTAACGATGATGGTATATATGAGCTGGAATCGACATGCGCCAGTCGCCTGGTTATCAGTGCATACAATGAAACCACTAAAAGAGTCATGAACAGGTATTTGTTATTTTCTAGCAATCTCTTAGGCAATTTGTTAACTTCAAGTTTGCTTCCATTGCAACACCTTATCCTGACATAGACATATATTCGCGGAACTTAGGTTTCTGCCATACCGCAAACCGATCAAGTACATAGTCTTTGGAACAGCTGAAAGGATAGGATACTTACGCTACCCTCGGCCCCCAAGAAGAACACTTGCTCAAATAAAGGAAGACTTGAGTTCAGAACCACAGCAGCGTGAGGTATGTAACGATGCTTTGTAAAATCCCAACATTAAAATATGTGTCATTTGCTATTACTGTGCACTCTAACCTGTCAACAACAATTTTCCTATTTCAGACCCTCTACCGAACCATAATCAAGTTTACTCATGTCAAATACACAGATGACATTTGCAGAACCACCCAAGAAATGCCAAGGTGAGCTTAAATAGTTAAATTGACCCTGTTGCACGTTTGGTAAGGAACGCTTGCATTATTATCAATACAGCTAACGAGTTTCTATCATAACCAGGCTGCATTACCAAATCGAAGCAAGGTGAAAATCTGAATCAGCTGAGGCTGATGTTGTCCTCAATCACGAGGCATCTCTTTCAATAATCTGCATGCTACCGCCAAAGTATCTCAAGCTGAACGAAGATGAAATCAAAGGGCTCATAAAGAAAAACTGCAAGAAGCCCTTTGCAGCAGAGCTATACATTGCATGGCCGAACCCAGGTCAAAGCACAGTGCCACACATCAGGGTTGCGACACTCTGGGATCCCTGTGCTTTCGACGATTGAACAACAACTTCGATCAACTCCATTTTGAATCAGTCAAACTACTACTGATTAACCTCTCTTTGCTGTTTCTGCTTATGCCTTGACATACTTAACAGCACCTTAGGTCGTCTTTTATGATGTACATGTCGTCCCCTGAACATGGTGCACATATTTTTTTGATCTTTGTTGATCTCTCGCTTTCGCATCAACAACTACCACCTGAATTAATCAGGTAGTTCAATCAGGCTGTATCTTTTGTGAATGCTTAGAAAACATTTTGGGAGATCACTTTTGCGTGTGTACCAATATGTCGTTGGCACAAAAGTGCTCATTTAGGCAATTGGTCCTTGCTGTGGCCTTTATGATGTATTAGTTGTTTAGATATTAGAAGTGATGACAACAATTCCCTTGCCTACTACCACCGTTTCACACGTGTAATCTTTGACATTATGATTATTAAAACAGGAATCGCCTATTGTTACGTATTTATTCTTATCGTTTGCTATGGTCAGCTCTTGTGTTTATTGCATATCCTTAGAAATAACATTACTTTGTAGGCCTCGCGTTTATCCAGAACTATGTCCATCATTTATGGTTTTTAGTACCCCATCGGCAACGATCCCTAATGCTCCAATATACAGATTTGATGCTGGAGAAAAAAAAACACCTAAAAAATACGACCCGCTTATTCCATCTGGGCCTTTAGCCCAACACTTATGCCCGGTATTATCCCCTTTCTTTCCTCTTTTCTTTTCACTTCGTCTACCTTTCACCCTTATTTCTGTTGTGCCTGCGTCGTAATTTCCCGACCCTTCTGTTTGCCTCACCAGAAGAATACCGCCACTGCTGTTCCGCCTTTCTCATTCTTACTCTCGCTTTAACCTTCTTCCTCTAATTTCTCACAACAAGGCGATGTCTACTCCTAAGCTGCTTCAAGATCTTAATGGAACTGAGGACACAGAAACTATTCTGAAATTGCGGCTCCTACATGTTTGGGTATCTGACGACCTAGAAAAGCCATATTGCAGCCTCTAGACCGATGCGAAGGTACTATGCCATTTGCTTTCGGTTTTCCTGTTTTCCAGTAACATTCCTGATCCTGATCCATCTCTTCTGCCTCGCCTGCTACCTGCCTTCGTAGGGAACATTGATTCAAGCTATCGCCCCATCATATTTAGCTACCCATTTTGGCGTAATCCTGCAACTAGGCTGTGTATATTTAGTTTCTAAATTCCATATACAACGACCACAAGCGATTCTGCGTCCTTGCTCCCATACATTGAATCTGGTTCTTTCTCAAGAAACCATATTTGATAATGTCACCATACTGTCGCCCGGTTTTTGTGCTAATTCATTCGAATTTGCTGCTTACGATTCCTTGTGTTCCTTACCACGCTCAGCAAACCAACTAATAGTTTTGCTTCACAAACTACTTTAAACTCATGGACTCCACTTCAATTTCGCCATTACAGTTGGGGAACTGACTATGTTTGCCAACCACTTCAAATGTAGATGTTGTTGGTAAAGTTGTGTCCGTAGCTGGCCTGTCATGCTTAGTGACATCTGATCGTGCTATTATTAGGCGCAAGCTTGTCATACAAAACGAGAGGTTTTCGATAGATTATACTTGTGTACTCTTACATAACTTCATTTATTGTTTTTTGTTTCCTCTTTTTACATCGTCTTTGTTATACTTTTCTTTTACAGGCATGTTCACCTTAATATCACCATTTGTGGCGATGTTGCACGATCTCTAGATGGGGAAGAACTCGCATACCTTGGTCGTTCTGGTTTTGTTGTCCTAGGTGTATGTGGCCTTCAGATTAATGGTGTAACAACAGGTTAGATCGTAGGTTTCTACCTGGCACCTAATGACTAGACTTCTCTACACTATCATGTATTGATGCCTACTTTCCACTGTGTTTCCAAGACGCCATCTTTTTTACCAGCACCCCTGGCACGCGATTTGTGCTAGAACCATCGTGTGATTTGGCAAATACTTTGCGCTCTACGTAAGTTGCTTCCAATATAACTTTTCAACAATTTACTTTTCCTTTAACTAATATTTTCCCCAATGTATAGCTCTCTTGCTGAAAATGATACAATTCAATACTATCCTCCGTGGTTCTCGACCTCTTTTGAAGAGCACCTATTTCAGGATGACAGTACAAAGACAATTCTAGAACTGATCCGCCTTTGCAACCCATCAATGGTTGATGTACGTGCTTCCTACACAAACCTTTCTTTGACAACACTGCATTTCATGCATACATACTAAGATCAAGCATAACACGCTGATTTATTATACCTAACCTATTTGTTTGTCTGTCTACTTTTAACTACACAATTTATGCTGCA